CAATGCTCGGCAGCCAGACTACTAACGGGTGCTGGGTACAAGGAGCACACCACTCCGCTGTTACACCAACTCCACTGGCTGCCAATTAGCTTCTGAGCACAATTCAAAGTGCTGGTGTTAACCTTTAAAGCCCTAAACGACTCCAGCCCTGTTTACCTCTCCGAACGTATTCTCCCCTATGAACCATCAAGATTATTAAGATCGTCTGGAGAGGCCCTGTTCTCGGTCCCACCGGCCTCACAAGCGCATCTGGTGGGGACGAGGGACAGGGCCTTCTCGGTGATGGCCCCACGACTCTGGAACTCTCTCCCACCGGAGATCAGAACTGCCCCTTCTATCCTGACTTTTAGGAAACAGGTGAAGACGTGGTTATGGAGACAGGCTTTTGATGAGTGAGACAACACCCTAAGACAGTGTTTCTCAACCTTCCTAATGCCGCGACCCCTTAATACAGTTCCTCATGTTGTGGTGACCCCCAACCATAACATTCTTTTGATACTTCATAACTGTAATTTTGCTCCCCTTATGAATAATTTGGGAGCTGTAGTTGTTGGGATTTATGGTTCACCTACAATCAAAGAGTATTCTGAACTCCACCAACGATGGAATTGAACCAAACATGGCACACAGGACTCCCATGACCAACAGAAAACACTGGAAGTGTTTGGTGGGCATTGACCTTGAGTTTGGGAGTTGTAGTTCACCTACAGAGAGCACTATGGACTCAAACAATGATGGATCTGGACCAAACTCAGTATGCTAAATGTGAACACTAGTGGAGTGTGGGGAAAATAGGCCTTGACATTTGGGAGTTTTAGTTGCTGGGATTTATAGTTCACCTACAAACAAAATGCGTTCTGAACACCACCAATGATAGAATTGGGCCAAACCTTCCAAACAGAACCCCCATGAACAATAGAAAATGCTGTGTTTTCTGATGGTCTTTGGTGACCCCTCTGGCACCTCCTGGCGACCCCTCCAGGGGTCCCGACTCCCAGGTTGAGAAGCACTGCCCTAAGACATGGATGGAAGATGATGTATAATTGTTTTTTAGTATGACAACTGACCACTGTAGTTTTGGATATATTTGTTGTTTTAATGTGTTATTGTAATATGAACTATGATGTTTTTACCGATTGTATGTGTTTTTATGGTTGGAAACCGGTCTGAGTCCCTCAGAAGAGGTGAGAAGGTCGGTATATAAAACTCTGAAATAAATAAAATAAATAAATAATTAGATACACAAATGTTTCAAAGCCTCCAAAGAAGGTGCTTTTGTTGGACTATGTGGCAGGGAGTTCCACTGTTGAGCTGCTCTTCTTACAGTCAGGAAGTTCTTCCCGACCTCCTTTCCTGCTATTTGAAACTAAACTTGAATCCTACCCCTTGAGTTTGGATTCTCGGCATGTCTTGACTTTAGGAGCATTTTTGTCTTTTCGTATCTGGACTTCTTTTGTTGTTGTTGTTGTCTCGGCCTTTCTCTTGAGAAATGGTGTCTTTGTGGTTTCCCCTTTTGAAGCCTTTCTTCCCTCCAACTCTTGACATTTGCAAGCTGCCCTTCTGGGCTTACAGATCCATTCAACGGAAGCATTCAAATGTATTACTTCTTTTCATGGAAGCCATGTTTAAATGCACAGGAAGTAACTTCCTGTTTCCGAATGACGGTCATGTTGCAAAAACTACCTTCATTCGGCCTGGTGAATATGTGACGAAATGAGCAAGTTTTGGTTATTATGGGCAAACCATTCAGAAGTAGTTGTTGATCTAACGTAAATGTTTTTTAGGTGCAGCAGCAATTTTGCACCACTGGAGAACAAAATTATAAAGAGCCAAAAATGATGAGTTGGCCATGGTGGTAAATAGTTAATTTAAGTGACGAATGCCTCAGACACAGTCATATTTTAGTTTCATGGTTTGTGCGCAATAACCACAGTATTAAAACCATAGCAGATATTATTTTTAAGCCTAGCAAGTATGACTATTTTAATTTTACTGTATACTGTTAACATGATGTTTGCAGGTGCTGACCTGAAAGGTACAGTGGAACCTGGACTTAACAGCATCCCAATTTAAGAACGTTTTAAGCTAAGAGACATTGCTCGGCCTGGTTTTGCTTTGACATGTGAGTATCATTTGAGTTAAGGACTGTTGCTTGGTCATTTTGCTTTGACATACGAGGAGCACTTTGAGTTAAGGGCTGTCGCTCAATCTTTGACATAGGAGCTGTGTTTTGTGTTAAGAGCCATTGCTCGGTCTTAGTTTTTGCCTTGACCTACAAGCAGTAATTTGAGTTAAGGCCCATTGCTCAGCCTTGTTTTGCTTTGATATATAAGCAGCATTTTGTGTTAAGAGCTGTTGCTCTGCCCTGCTTTTGCTTTGACATGTGACTGCCATTTTGAGTTAAGAGCCATTGCTTGGCAAAGGTTTTGCTTTGACACACAAGTAGCATTTTGAGTTTAGAAGGAGCGCTAGCATGAGAGGACAGGACTTTAGGGCTTCAAGGGAGCGACTTCTTGGCCTTGTGCCCTTGTCCACTTTGGGAGATTGCTTTCTGCTTTGCTCTTGTCCACTTTGAGGAACTTTGGGTTAGTTGATTTTGTGTGCTTTCTATTCCTAGTATGTTTGGCTTCTTGAAGAAAAGGAGGGAGAGAGGGAAGGAGCTTGGAATGAGTCCAGTATGAGGAAGAAAAGGATGCTTCTGCCATTTTAAAGTTGATCTTTCTTTTTGTTATCATTCCACGTGAATGTGCATTTATACATTATTTGTTAATTATAAAGTACATTTTATTATTTAAAAACACGTTAACAAAAAATGGGAGGTATTTGGAATAAGAGTGATTTGAGTTACGAGCTCAGCCACAGAACACATTGAACTCTTAAGTCAAGATATCACTGTATTACAAATCCAGATTTAGCCGTGGTCCGTGATAGATACCGTGTCGTTTTCTATCCTACTGTTATTATTGGCTTTCCAGTTCTAGTTTGAATTGTAGTCTTTTCCCAATATTATTATATTGACCTTTCTTGGCCTGTTGATCTTGCCCGTCTCCTGCCTTGGCTGTGATACGCCAAGCCTGTTTGCTGTGTTTAAGTCCAGCTTCGGAAGAAGGCCCTTTGAAGCCTGCTTATCGTCCTGTCTGTTTCCTTCGAGGCTAAGAATATCCTTTTGGGCAAGAAAACTCCCTGCTGATAAGCTTAGAAGAGTTTTCTGAACTGCGCATCAGTCATAGCAGTTGAGGTTTCCTGGTACTTAAAGAGACCTTCGTAAGGCTATGGATGGGAAGAATTGAATTGATTTTTTTATTATCATTACAGTCACAGACCAGGAGTGTCAAACTTTAAAACATTAAAAACAGAGTTCTTTTTAAAAAGTATTAAAAATAAGATAAGAAATTTACTGGTATACTACTGCAACCAAGAAGAAAGGGAAGCATTCCTGCTTATCTGGGAAAGAACAAAAGACTGTGTGTTTTTTTGTTGTTGAAGTAGAAAACCGCTCACAACAACAACTGTACTTTAGGATACATGGTCCCTTCACTGGTGTTTCACTCCAGACCAGGAAAGCCCTCTAACTTTAAACACCACACAGCTGAGTAGAAATGCAATCCGTTTATTGAAGATAATTAAAAAGCATATATATATCAAGCTTTGCCTAACAGTGTCATAAATCACTGAGATCCTCTGATGCTACCGCTTTCCCACATACCAAAGTCCCCATTCTGACAAATCAGGGCAATTGATCTTTATGGCCGGTTCATGCGTCCTTATAGTAGCGTTTCTCAACTTTGGGGTCGGAACCCCTGGGGGAGTCGCAAGGAGGTTTCAGATAGGTTGCCAAAGACCATCTTTGGCAGAGAAGGCTGAAGATCTCTCCACCTGTACCTCTCTTCCTTTTTGGAAATAGACGGCAAATCCTCCCACCAAAAGCCCTCCTCTGCTGTGATTGACCGGCCTCTCAGCCAAGTGGAGGGCTGTTTCTGAGACTCCAAGTGCGGGAGAGGAGAGCAGTCATGCTTGGCACATAGCAGTGTGGTGTGTATGTGCGGGCAAGGCAGAGTGTGCGAGGCTAGAGGGAGCAAGCCCCTTCAAGGCTTCAAGGTTTCTGTGTGGGAAGTTTGGCTCAGTACTATCATTGGTGGGGTTCAGAATGCTCTTTGATTGTATAAATCCCAGCAACTACAAATCCCAAATGTCAAGGTCTATTTTCCCCACACTCCACCAGTGTTCGCATTTTGAGTATTTTTGCCAAGTTTGGTCCACATCCATCACTGTTTGAGTCCACAGTGCTCTCTGGATGTAGGTGAACTACAACTCCAAAACTCAAGGTCAATGTCCACCAAACCCTTCCAGTGTTTTCTGTTGGTCATGGGAGTTTAGTGTGCCAAGTTTGGTTCAATTCCATCATTGGTGGAGTTCAGAATTCTCTTTGATTGTAGTTAAACTATAATTTCCAGCAACTACAACTCCCAAATGACAGAATCAGTCCTCCTTCTCCAAATCCCACCAGTATTCAGATTTGGGCATATTGAGTATTTGTGCCAAATTTGGTCCAGTGAATGAAAATACATCCTGCATATCAGATATTTATATGAAAATTCATAACAGTACCAAAGTTACAGTTATGAGGTAGCAACGAAAATGTATGGTTGGGGGTCACCACCAAATGAGGAACTGTTTTAAGGGGTTGCGGCATTAGGAAGGTAGAGAAACACTGCCTTATCGAATCCTTTTGGTCATATGCTTTGTGTCAGTACCAGGGAGTTCATGGTTGCATGGCATGAGTGATTATGACATGTTGCCATGTCGAGAAAGATTATTTCTTGGTGTTTTGGCATGTGCTTATATAAGAATCCTAATAGAAAAGTTTCTGGTTTCAATGATATTTTGTTTTTTTTAATACAGTTTCCATTTTATTATGAATTTTTATCCAGAAATTGTGAGTCTTTGGGCAGGTCTACCACATGTGATAAAAAGTTATTTTCTTCTGTTTACATTTCCAGCTCCCGCCTTGGTCCTTTCCAAGCACAACGACTTGGCTCCAGGACTTCCTGACCGGCTGCTATTTTAGCACCTCTGTGGTTCTCTCTCTGACCAATATGGCCCCTTCCCTCACTTTCCGATAACGCACCCAGGGCAGCATGCCAGAGACTGGGCATGTGCCAGGATGAGTCTGAACGACGCCGGCGGCGAGAGCGCAGCCGCCTACACGCTGTGCATTTGCCCCCAGCTCTCTGCGGAAAGTGCGGCCTGCTGCCGGGTGACGGCAACAAAGGAGAGCACTGCCGGCGATGTCATCCAGGATGCGGTCAGCTGCTTGGGATTGGACGCAGCGAAGCATTACGTGCTGGTGGAGGTGAAGGAGTGCGGGGGAGAGGAGTGGGTGCTGGATGGGAATGACTCCCCTGTCCAGAGGGTGCTGCTGTGGCCCCGCCGGGCCCAGGAGGCCCACCACCCGCCACAGGATGGCTACTACTTCCTCTTGCAAGAACGCAACGCCGATGGGAGCATCAAGTACGTCCGCGCACCGCTGCCCTTGGAGGAGAAGGTGGTGCGGGAGAAGGAGGCCCGGCGCCTGGTGGAGCGGGGCTTCCTTCCTTGGACGCAGGAGGACTTTAACGATCTCTGCAACCTGCCCAACCTGACGGAAGCCACCTTGCTTGAGAACCTTCAGAGGCGTTTCCTGAAGCAGAAGATCTACACCTACGCTGGCAGCATCCTTGTGGCCCTCAACCCTTTCAAGTTCCTGCCCATCTACAACCCCAAGTACGTCCAGATGTATGAGGGCCACCAGCTGGGAAAGCTGGAGCCTCATATATTTGCCATCGCCGACGTGGCCTACCACGCCATGCTGAAGAAGCACCGCAACCAATGCATCGTCATTTCTGGGGAGAGCGGGTCTGGCAAGACCCAGAGCACCAACTTCCTGATCCACTGCCTGACTGCCTTGAGCCAGAAGGGCTACGCCAGTGGCGTTGAGAGGACAATTTTGGGAGCTGGACCAGTGCTAGAGGTCTGTATTGTTGGACGAGTGGGCTTATTAAGAAAAGACCCTCCCCATAAATGTACAGCAGAATAACTTAGCAGCAGCAGCATGACCCAGCACCAGTATTCCAAAGTGATAAAAAGAACAAAAACACACAGACCAATGTTATCTCTTACATAGGAGGCTTTTCTTTGTAGTTAAATTCTTCAGTTGCACTGTTTACAACAAGGTTTCCATAACACAAATAAACAAATACACAGTAGCTTTACACGGCTTTCCTCACACAATGCTTCTCTCACACAGAGGTTTTTCTCACACTCCTCAAGACGATACTAGCTTTTGGCCCACTGACTCTTAACAGGCTTCGGCCTACTAAATCTTTCAGTGCTTGACTCACATTTTTGGAATTAAAAATATCTAGTTCATTTTTAATATTTCTGACATGTATTTCCATCTATCTATCTATCTATCCACCCTTATCGTTTCAAATCTAATGCGAACCTCGGTTTTCAGAACCCTGAAACCAAAAAGAAGTGTTGTAGTTTGCACATGAGCAATTGCATTTTATCTCCAGGTTATTCTTAGTTCGTGCAGGCTGGTTCAGAGCGTCTGCCTTCCCTTTTCCCACTTAAACAAAGCAGAAGTGGGTTGTGCGCTTGGAGGCTGACCCAAAACAGGAAGGAGTGGACTTGTGGTCAGGCAGCAGCAGATTGCAACCTCCCCCCACCCCCGGTTCCTGCAAATGCGTTCAGACTCTTACAGGATACCTTGAGGCGAAATCCACAAGTTGACACACACGGAGAGGCAAACGGTGGCCCTGTTTGGGTGTCTAGTCTCATCCTCAGCCCCATTCTGGTTCCTCCATTTGTCTAGAGCAGCAGTTTTCAAAGTGTGCTCCAGGGAGCCCTTGGGACTCCGCAAAACATACTAAGGAGTTATGTGCTTTCCTCCTCCCCCTCCAAGCTATGAGGTTGCTCCTGTTATTATGGTTGGATGGCCATCTGTTGGGTTGCTTGGATTGTGCTTTTCTGCGTGAAGGCTTAAAGGGGTTGGACTGGATAGCCCCTCGGGTTGCTCTCGTTGTTCTTATTCTTAGTCTTATTATTATAGTAAAGTCTGGATGACCAGTTGTTGGGGGTGCTTTGATTGTGTTTTTCCTCCATAAAAGAAGGATCGGACTGGAAAGCCTCTGGGGTTTTTTGCTATTGTTGTTGTTGTTGTTATATTATTATAAAGGGTGGATGGCCATCTGTTGGGGGTGCTTTGATTGGGCTTTTCCTCCATTAAGGCAGAAGGGGATTGGACTGGATGGCCCCTGGGGTGGAGGCTGGATGGCCATCTGTTGGGGGTGCTTTGATTGGGCTTTTCCTCCATTAAGGCAGAAGGGGGTTGGACTGGATGGCCCCTGGGGTTGTTTATATTGTTGTTGTTGTTGCTAATATTATTACTACAAAGGCTGGATGGTTATCTGTTGAGGTGCTTTGATTGTGTTTTTCCTGCATAGCAAGGGGGGAGGAGTTGGACTGAATACATAGGCTGGATGGCCATCTGTTGGGGGTGCTTTGATTGTGCTTTTCCTGCATGGCAAAGTGGGGTTGGACTGGATGGCCCCTGGGGTTCAATTATTATTATTACAAAGGCTGTATGGCCATCTGTTGGGCTTGCTTTGGTTGTGTTTTTCCTGCAAGACAAAGGGGGAGGAGTTGGACTGGATGGCCCCTAGAGTTGTTCCTGTTGTTGTTCCTGTTGTTGTTGTTGTTATAAAGGCTGGGTGGCCATCTGTTTTTTTTTTCAGTCTGTTCACACAAGCACTCTCCATCCCATCTGCCACTGGCTCAGCCCTTCTGTGACATTATAAAACAAAAATTCATCAGAAAGTTTGCCTTTTCCTTATATATATACATTATATTATAATATATAATATAAATGTGTCTTGGGGCTCCACAAGAAACTTTTGCTTCAAAAAGGGCGTTGAAAAGTTCTTACTTACTTACTTAGGCGATCCTTCATTGGCCGAGTAGGATAGTCTTCCAGGATCAGTGTTCTGGTGGGTCCATAGGTGACTGTGGAGCCCTATTCTTGATCTGCATCTTCTCCCGCAGTGAGGGCATTGGTTTCCAGGTGGAAGGCGGTCTCGGTCAGGGTTGGCTTGATGCACCTTCCTCTTGGTACGTTTCTCTCTTTCACCCTTCATTTGTGCCTCTTCAAATTCTGCAGCACTGCTGGTCACAGCTGACCTCCAGCTGGAGCCCTCAAGGGCAGGGCTTCCCAGTTCTCAGTGTCTATGCCAGAGTTTTTAAGGTTGGCTTTGAGCCCATCTTTAAATTCCTGCCACCAACATTCTGTTTTCCGTTCTTGAGTTCGGAGTAAAGCAACTGCTTTGGGAGACGGTGGTCATGCTGTGGGATCATGGGGGCTGCCAAAGAAGGTGTGTACTTCACCAAACTACAAATCACAGCATTGCATAGCATCAAGCCATGGCAATCAAATGAGAGGTGACATCCCTCAAAGGGGAGCTGCAGCCACTCTTGCACCACCTTCCTCTTTGGCGAGTGTAGCCCTCATTTTGGGAAAGTAACTTTGCCCAAAAAGTGAAATATGATGATAGAATGACATCTTATTAAGAGGAGTCAGGAAAGACTCTGTTTTGATACTAACAATTGAATATGTTTTTGCTTTTGGGACAGGCGTTTGGGAATGCGAAGACGGCCCATAACAACAACTCCAGCCGCTTTGGGAAATTCATCCAGGTCAACTATTTGGAAAACGGCATTGTCCGAGGGTAAGTGTGGAGTGGGCGTGGTTTCTGGGGGTGGCAAGGCATCTGTGGTCCTTTGTTATGTTGGGAAGCCCTTCTGGAGTTTCTAAGACTGCTGCACACCTAAGGGAGGGTTTTGTCCTGGGCCCGGTATCGGTTGAAGGTTGAGAGGGCCTGCTGATCAAGTTTGCAGATGGGACCAAATTAGGAGGGAAAACTAACACTCCAAAGGACAGGATCAGACTTCAAAATGATTTTAGCAGATTAGAGAGCTGATTCGCCAAAACTATCACAATGCATTTCAGCAAGGACAAATGTAAGAGACTACACTTAGACAGAAAAAAATGCAATGCAAAGATTCAGGATGGGTGTTGCCTCGCTCCACAACAGTCCATGTGAGAAAGATCATGGAGAACATGTTGAACACGAGCCAAGAGTGTGATGTAGCAGCTCAAAAAGCCAATAGGATTTTGGGCTGCATCCAAAGGAGTCTCGTGTCCTGACCGAGGGAAGAAGTCATGGTGCTTCTCTCTTCTGCTTTGGTCAAACCTCTTTACCTGGAATAACTCTGTGTCCAATTCAGAACAAAACAATTTAAGATATAATAATAATAATAATAATAATAATAATAATAATAATAATAATAATACGATATGAGGATTTAAAGATCGAACTGCAAAGACTCTGGCATAAACCAGTGGTCCCAGTGGTGATCGGCACACTGGGTGCAGTGCCTAAAGACCTTGGCCTGCACTTAAACACAATCAGCGCTGACAAAATTGCCAGCTGCCGAAGGCCACCTTACTGGGATCTGTACACATTATTCGCCGATACATCACACAGTCCTAGACACTTGGGAAGTGTCCAACATGTGATCCAATTCAACAGCCAGCAGAGTGTCTGCTGTGGACTCATCTTGTTGTGTTTCAAATAATAATAATAATAATAATAATAATAATAACAACAACAACAACTCTGAAGCTGAAAGGTGTCCAGAGAGAGAGGGCAACTAAAAGGATCCAAGGTCTGGAGACCGTGAATATTTCCTACGAGGAGTGTCTTAAAGAGCTGGGTCTGCTTATCCTGCCGAAGAGAAGACACAAGAGCTATGTATGAATATGTGAAAGGATCCCGTAAGCAAGGGGGAACACGCTTGTTTTCTGCTGCCCTGGAAACTAGTACTCTGAGCAATGGGTTCAAATGACAGGGAAGGCGATCCCACCTGAACATTAGGAAGAACTTCTTAGACCTGTTCAGCAGTGGAACTCTACTTTGGAGGCTAGTTTAAGCTGCTTCCTTGGAGGCTTTTAAACAGAGGCTGGATAGCTATCTGTTGGGGTTGGTTTGATTGTGCTTTTCTTGCATACCAGAAGAGGGTGGGACTAGATGGCTGTTGGAGTCTCTTCGAACTCTATGATCTTATTATTAAAATAATAATATAATATCCTTTTATTTATATTCCACTCCATCTCCCAGAGGGGACTCAGGGCAGATTAGAGAACTCATACATGGCAAACATTCAGTGCCGTTATACAATTAACAAGGACAGACAATACATAAACAGAGGTAAAGGCTTTCCCATCTTTTTCCATCTCCGGCATCTGGAGGCTGTGCTTGACTCCGGCCATAGGGAGGTGCTGTTGTTCCATCTTCCATGTCATGAAGCTTTTTGTTGTCCGTAGACCTCCTTATCGAATCGTCAGCATGTCCTTATGGGTGCCTTTTATTACCTCCCTGATTAAAGCGGAACCTTTTTATCTACTCATTTTACTGTTTTCGATCAGTTAGGTGGGCAGAAGCTGGGCTGACAGTGGGAGCTCAAACCGACCAGGGCTTGAACTGTCAACCTTTTGATTGGCAAGATTTTCTGCAGCTGGTAGTTACCTCACTGTGCTAAAGCCTGGCACATTATTATCATTACGGTATTGCTATTTGAAACACAACAAGATGAGTCCACAGCAAACAAGATCACTCTGCTGCCTGTCTAGGACTGTGTGATGTATCGGCAAATAATGCATGCAGATCCCAGTAGGGTGGCCTTTTGCAGATGGCAGGTGGTAATCTTGTCAGCACCAATTGTGATTAAGCGCAGGCCAAGGTCTTTAGGCACTGCACCCAATGTGCCGATCACCACTGGGACCACCTTGACTGTCTTGTGCCAGAGTCTTTGCAGTTCGATCTTTTAATCCTCATATCGTGTCAGCTTTTCCAGTTGTTTCTCTTCAGTCCTGCTGTCACTTGGGATTGCAACATCGACAATCCACACTCTGTTTTTTAACATGATTGTGATGTCAGGAGTCTTGTGCTCCAAAACTCTTGTCTGTCTGAATCCGGAAGTCCCAGAGTAGCTTGACGTGTTCATTCTCTGTAACGTTTTCCGGCTTGTGATCCCACCAGTTCTTTGTCGCAGGCAGATGGTATTTGTGGCACAAGTTCCAATGAATCATCTGCGCAGTGGTGTTATGCCTCTGTTTACAGTCTGTCTGCGTAATCTTCTTGCAGCAGCTGAGGATATTATATTATTATTATTAGTAGTAGTAGTAGTATTTCAATGGGCTGGATGCCCATCTTTCAGGGGTGCTTTTATTGGGCTTTTCCTGCATGAAGGCAGAAGGGAGTGTAGCTGGATGCCCCCTGGGTTTTTTGCTATTATTATTATTATTATTATTATTATTACAAAGAGAGTTTTAATAATAATAAAAATATAAATAAAATATATTATATATTATTATATTTATTATTATATTATATTTTTTATTATTATTAAAATTCTCTTTGTAATAATAGTAGTAGTAGTAGTAGTAATGCTGCCTTGGAAACTAGGACTCAGTCGAGCCATGGCTTCAAATGACAGGGAAGGAGATCCCACCTGAACATTAGGAAGAACATCTTAGAGCTGTTCAACAGTGGAACTCTCTGCCTAAGAGTCTGGTGGAAGCTCCTTCCTTGGAGGCTTTTAAACAGAGGCTGGATGGCCCTCTGTCAGGAGTGCTTTGATGGTGCTTTTCCTGCATGGCAGAAGGGAGTTGGACTTGATGGCCATGTGGTCTCTTCCAACTCTATTATTCTATATAGGAATCCAACGCCCTTGGTATGTGCAAGGGTTCACCAGAGAGCACAATAGATTCCTAACAGTTCTTTTTCACACCTCTGTGCTCATTCATTCATTCCTCTTTTTTTTTTGGGACTCCAGGGCCGTGGTTGAAAAGTATCTGCTCGAAAAATCTCGCCTGGTGTCACGGGAAAAAAACGAAAGGTAAGTGATTGAAAGAAAGTAAATAAATCTGGTCACAATGCTTTGATTCGGTCTGGTGGCCCTGCTGCAAAAGAGGGAAAGAGGAGAGAAATTAGGGCGATTGATTCCTTGTTTTAATACATTTTACCTTCATGGTGGCACATCCCAGGTATGGAGAAGCATTCAAGTAATACTATCAGTTAATCAAGTTTTGTTGTGCTTTAATTTATGTTAGTTAACCATTACAGGAGTTTTAGGATTGTGATTAGTGTCTGTTTGTCTGTGTGTGTGTGTGTGTGTGTGTGTGTGTGTGTGTGTGTGTGTGTGTGTGTATATATATATATATATATATATATATATTGGTCTTTTATTCTATACTAGTCATCCCCTGCCACGCGTTGCTGTGACCCAGTCTGGTGATCTGGAAAATAAAGTAATGGTTTCTAATATATGTAATTCCTTTATGCTTGGGGGTAAACAGTATTCCTTGTTGTTTCTATGTCAGTGTTGATGTGGAGATTGTCTGGTTTGCCCACCCTGGAACATGTGACATATAATTGTCCTTCTTTAGGGGTGCCTTTCAAATCTATGATATTATATCTGTGTGTGTGAATCATATATATCTATCTATATCTATGGCTGGATGGTTCTTTGTCAGGAGGGCTTTGATTACGTTTTCTTGCCCTGGTGAAGGGAGTTGGACTGGATGGCCTTAAGTATTTTCTGTTGGTCATGGGGGTTCTGTGTGGGAAATTTGCCCCAATTCTGTCGTTTGTGGGGTCCAGAATGCTCTTTGATTGTAGGTGAACTATAAATCCCAGTAACTGCATCTCCCAAATGTCAAGGTCTATTTCCCCCACACTCCCTCTGTGTTCATATTTGGGCATATGGAATATTTGTGCCAAGTTTGGTCCAGATCCATCATTGTTTGAGTCCACAATGGTTTCTGGATGTAGGTGAACTACAACTCTCAAACTCAAGGTTATATTATATTAATTAGTACATAGATTATTACTATAATAATATTATATATTATTTTATTATATTGTTATATTATTAGAGTACTAGCTGTCCCCTGCCACACATTGCTGTAGCCCACTCTAGTGGTCATGGGGGTTCTGTGTGGGAGGTTTGGCCCAATTCTATCATTGGTGGGGTTCAGAATGCTCTGTGATCGTAGGTGAACTATAAATCCCAGCAACTACAACTCCCAAATGTCAAGATTCTATTTTCCCCAAACTCCACCAGTGTTCACATTTGGGCATATTGAGTATTTGTGTAGAGTTTGGTCCAGATCCATCATTGTTTGAGTCCACAGTGCTCTCTGGATGTAGGTGAACTACAACTCCAAAACCAAAGGTCAATGCCCACCAAACCCTTCTAGTGTTTTCTGTTGGTCATGGGAGTCCTGTGTGCCACGTTTGGTTCAATGCCATAATTGGTGGAGTTCAGAATGCTCTTTGATTGTAGGTGAACTATAAATCCCAAGAACTACAACTCCCAAATGGCAAAATAAAAAAAAATTGAGTGAAGGATATACATTGGGTTGTTAGGTGTCTTGTGTCCAAATTTGGTGTCAATTTATCCAATGGTTTTTGAGTTCTGTTAATCCCACAAACGAACATTACATTTTTATTTATATAGACTAGCTTGGGTCCACGGCGTTGCCCGGGTTATTTGAAAAAGTCATTTTAAAAATGGTACAAAATGCATAAGGTTGTGAGTGAACCACAACTCACATCATGCCAAGTTAAACCCGAAAAACACCATCACTACTTAAAGTTTGTTAGGTTGGGCAGGTTTGCTCTAGTTCAGGTATGGGCAAACCCAAGCCCAGGGGCTGAATGAGGCCCCTTGGGCTCTTTTCTCAGGCCCTCCTCTCTCTCACCATCGTATCCTTCCTTCCTTCTCTCTTTTTCCTTCCTCCTGGGGAATGTTTAGCTGGAAGAAGAGATGGTAGAGAGGGAAAACGAGAACCATGTTTCAAGATTTCAAAGGGTGTCCCATTGAGAAGGAGGAAGGGGGGGGGGGGCTGACTTTCTGCTGCTCTAGAGACCAGGGCACAAGGGAGCAATGGTTTCAAATGGCAAGGAAAGAGATTCTACTGAAAAGATTAGGAAGAACTTCCTGGAAAGTCCCTTAGGCTTCCTGGGAGTGTAGTGGAGTCTCCGTCTCTGGAAGATTTTTGGCAGTGCCTGTCTATCGGGAGTGCTTTGATTGTGCCTCCCTGCATGGATGGCCCTTGGGGGTCTCTTCCAGCTCTAGGATTCTATATCAGGAGTAGGCAATATGGGGTCTCATTATTATTATTATTATTATTATTATTATTATTATTATTATTATCACAACAAGATGACTCCACAGCAGACATTCTGCTGGCTGTTGAATTGGATCACACGTCGGACACTTCCCAAGTGTCTAGAACTGTGTGATGTATCAGTGAATAATGCGTGCGGATCCCAATAAGGTGCCCTTCTGCATCTGGCAGATGGTAATTTTGTGAGCGCCGATTGTGTTTAAGAGCAGGCCCAGATCTTTAGGCACTAACCCAGTGTGCCAATCCCCACTGGGACCACATTTACTGATTTGTGCCAGAGTCTTTGCAGTTCCATCTTTAAATCCTCATATCGTGTCAGCTTTTTCAGTTGTTTCTCTGCAATCCTGCTGTCACCTGGGATTGTGACATCAACAACCCATACTTTGTTTTTTAACACGATTGTTTTTTTTGTATGTTTTAAATATTTTTATTGGTTTTCTTAGAATACATCGATACATCAATACCTTCAATACTCTTATATTCCATCCTCAATTCGTTACATCAACCATAGGTGTATATATATATCTTGTATACTTTTTTTCACCTCTGTGCCCGCCCCCCTTCCGAGCCACTTCAATTTGCATTTTCTTTTCAAAATACAATTTCTTCTTATGGAGGTAATTTCCTATCTACTTCTTTTAAGCCATTCCCAATAAATTTTCCCCAAACTTTATCAAAATCGTTTTCCTTCCATACCCCTTTCCTGACTCTTAACCTACATGTCAATTTATCATTTATTGCTATTTTCCATAATTCTTTATACCATTCTTCAATTGATATATTTATTTTACCTTTCCAATTCTTCGCTATCAGTAATCTTGCTGCAGTTAACATGTTATCTATTGCATCTTTCTCTGTTTTTTTCAATTTCTTAACATTATATAGTGACAACAATGCAATGCTCGCACTTTTCCATTTCTTCATATCCATTATAGCTTCTATCTCTCCAAATACCTTCCCCCAAAATTCATTTACATATTTACATTGCCACCACATATGTATATATGTACCCACCTCCTGGCAACCTCTCCAACAATTTTTTGTGGTGTGCCTATTAATATTTGCAATCTTTACTGGTGTTAGGTACCATTTCCAAACCAATTTGTAATAATTTTCTTTAACACGTATCGATAGGTTCTTTAAATATCTTTGATCCCATAATTGTACCCAATCCGCTTCTTTTATTCTAATCCCTAGGTCTTCCTCCCATATCTCTCTTAATGTTACATCCTTTATTTTTCCCCCCTTAATATCGATTATTATCTTATACAATTTGCTAGATATTCCTTTCAGCTTGTGGTATCCTACCGTATCCTCTCATGGCTCTTTCTTTTTGTATCACGATTGTGACATCAGGAGTATTATGCTCCAAAACTCTGTCTGAATCTGGAAGTCCCAGAGGAGTTTGGCGTGTTCATTCTCTGTAACTTTTTCCAGCTTGTGATCCCATAGTTCTTTGTCGCAGGCAGATGGTATTTGTGGCACAAATTCCAATGAATCATCTGAGCAATGGTGTTATGCCTCTGCTTGTAGTCTGTCTGCACAATCTTCCTGCATTTATTTATTTAAAACTTTTATATCCTGATCTTCTCAACCTCCACGGAGGGACTCAGACTGGCTACCCTTTGTCTTTCCCATCCACCATCTCATCCTGACCAAGACCAACTCCTTTGGGATCCAAACGTTTCCCATCTTCCCTTCACTTTCTGCCCCTGAAAGAGAAGAGAAAAGGGAGGAAAGGGCAGGGAGTGGCTTGGGGACAATCCCCTCTCTACCGATCCACCCACCCAGCTCCGGCCCACCATGCGGCCCTCAAGTTAGAAAGTTTGCTCATGCCTGCTCTAGATGCATCCTTGGTGGGGTTGATTGTGCTCTATGGCTGTAAGGTAAACTACAACTCCCACTATGGTGAGTCCGTCCCCTCAAAGCCCTCCAGTAGGTTGAGTTAGCAATGGAGGTTCTGTGTGCCAAGTTTGGTTCAGGTCCATCATCAGTGGAGGTCACAGTTTCTGTGGTTGTGGGTGAACTACGACTCCCAAAAAGGAAGGTCAGTTCCCCCTCAAACCCCTCCAGTAATCAAATTTTGGCATGTCACGTCTGTGTGCCAAGTTTGGTCCAGATCCATAGGTGTTTGGGTTCACAGTACTCTCTCTGCATGTAGGTGAACTACAAATCCCCCAAATCAAGGTGAATTTTCCCCAAAGACCCCCAGGTTTGGTTGGTTGGTTGGTTTTTTGGTTTTTGTTTTTGTTTTGTTTTTTGCAGGCCTTAGGGCTCTGTGTGCCAAGCTTGGTCCAATTCCATCTTTGGTGGAGTTCAGAGTGCTCATTGATTGCATGTGAATTGTTCATCCCAGTGCCTTCAACTCCAAAATGTCCAGTCTAATTCCCCTCAAAACCCACCAGTATTCAAATTTGGGCATATCAGTATGCATGCCAAGTTTGGTCCAGATCCGTCATTGTTTGGGTTCATAGTGTGCTCTGGATGTAGGTGAACTACAACTCCTATAAATCCCTCCAAAGATCTTCAGTACGTTTTGTTGGCCATGGGGGCTCCGTGTGCCAAGTTAGTTCCAGGTCCATCATTGGTGGGGTTCAGAATGCAGTTCTTAGATTGCAGGTGAACTATACATCCCATTGCCTACAACTCCTTTAAATCATGGCGAAATCTCCCCAACCTCTCTGGTATGTTCAGTTGCTGATCAATTCTTGTTTGCTGTGTGCCGTAGAAAAAAATAGGAAAGGCTTAAGGGGGAGGCAGAGGGTGGGGTCATGCAAATTCCACACCAGTGGAGAGAGTAAGAAACACTGGGATGTATGTGGTGAGAGATACACAGAAAATCTAGGATGAAATGGTCCCCGTAAAAAAGCCTTTACTTGGGTGGTGGGCAGTGTGATGTTTCTGGAAGATATTGGTAGGACTCTTGGACATGTTCACGGGGTTCACTGTAACCTGCAATGTCACTAGAGGGAGGGCCATTGGTGTCTCCTGAGCAGTGGGAACTATAGCTGTTTGTGGAGGCAGTAGCTTTTTTGTGTAGGTGAAAACCACACACACACACATACATATTTTCACTTTTGTTATGTGTATAGATTGAAACTCTTGCTGCTACGAGGGGCTTTCTGAAGCTGAGTTGAATTCTGGGAAATGTAGTTTAGGGCAGGGCCTTTTGCATTCTTTGACATAGTACTCCTTGCCTTCCCAAACTACATTTCCCAGAATGCTGTGCTCTCTCAATCTCTTTCCCAGCTTATGATTTACATATGACTAACGATTTAAAAACGAAGTTTTGCACATCCCTAATGTCCTTCCAGTACAATAGAGCTCTATAATCTATAAAGAGGGGAGTAGTCAGTGCTGGCATGGATGCCACCAGAAAGGGCACTTTATGCACATGATGTGGGAATGTGAATATGTACAAAATTTTTGGCAGACTATACAAAATGTGTCAAATCAAATGCTAGGAAATGAGTGGGTCATAACAAAGGAATTAGCGGTATTAGGGAAAAGAGAGGAAATGGGAAATAAAAGGGAAATAAAAGAAGCAATAATTGAATGTGCACAAGCAGTAATAGTATTAGGGTGGAAAGATAAATAAAAATGGACAATAAATAAATGGTACCATTATATGGTGGAGCAAATGGAATTTGAAATTATGAATGTGAAATTAAATGATTTAAAAATTAATGAAAATCGAATGAGAGAAATGGAAGATAGATGGACAAGGGTAATGAACTATATTATGAATCATTCCGGAGATCAAGTCATAAGAAATAAGATACAAATGCTATATAGCATACAGGATGGAAATGTATAAAGATAAAGAAATAATGATTGTCTCAAAAAGAAATGAATATGTGAAAGACAATAATCCTCATGTTGGTGGTGGGAATTGTAAATGTTTTGTGTGTGAAAGGTATGTATTTTCTGTATTGTAAAAATAAAAAGTCGGGGGAAAAATAGAGCTCTATAATGAAGTTCAGGATGAGAGCCGAAAGGTGTACATTTTCCGAGCACGGTGGTTCTGAGATGTGCATTTTCTCCTGCAGGAACTACCATGTTTTTTACTACCTGCTGCTTGGTGTCAGTGCGGAGGAGCGCAAGGAATTCCACCTCAAGCAGCCAGAAGACTATTTCTACCTCAATCAGGTAAATACACAAAGACCCTCCTTGCGCCGCTGGGTTGGTGTCTGTTGTTATCGCAATCCTCGTTTTGGCACAGGACCCGCAACAGCCTTGTTGATGTCCCAATTTTTTCCTTCTCCTTTTAAATTCCTTTTCCCTTCTACAGCATAACTTGAAAATCGAAGACGGGGAAGACCTCCAGCACGATTTCGAACGGTTAAAGCAAGCCATGGAGATGGTTGGTTTCCTTCCTGCCACAAAGAAGCAGTGAGTCAATCGGTCCCTTTGGGGATATAATATAATAATAATAATAATAATAATAATAATAATAATAATAATAATAATTTATTTTACTATTATTGGAAAGTGTAAAATTACTGTGTTGTCAAAGGCTTTCCTGGCTGGAATCACTGGGTTGCTTTGTGTTTTTTGGGCTATATAGCCATGTTCCAGCAGCATTCTCTGCTGGCAGTGAAGCAAGTAGAGGAGTGGTTCTCAACCTGTGGGTCCCCAGATGTTTTGGTCTTCAACTCCCAGAAATCCTAAGAGCTGGTAAACTGGATGGGATTTCTGGGAATTGTAGGCCAAAACACCTGGGGACCCACAGGTAGAGAACCACTGAAGTAGAGTGTATATATATCCCTATGGAATAATGTCCAGGGTGGGAGAAAGAACCTTTGTCTGTTTGAAGTAAGTGTGAATGTTGCAATTAGCAGGCATTAATAGCATTGAGTAGCCATGAAGTTACAAAGTCAATCAATATAATAATAATAATAAAATAAAACTTTATTTATATACCGCTCTATCTCCCCACGGGGAACTCAGGGCGGTTTCTAAGTAACATTACCAAAACATACAAAGTAAACAGCATAACATAAAATTAACAAAACAACATAAGCATAAAATTATCACAATAACATGTATATTAAAAACAATCCTGCCTATTCAGAGCAATTAAAAAGCCAGGCCAAAACTAGTGCAAACTCACAATATGAGGGGGCCGGGAATTAAGTACAGTGCTATAACAAGCTAACGGCAATAGCAGGTACAGGTCTGTGGCTGCTCATTTCTAGGGCCTATTAGACCAGGGTAATAGGTCATATTCAACAATGTTTGGGCTGGACTAGAACTAGTCATTCTCAAATGCTTGTTGAAACCACCAAGTCTTCAAGCTCTTATGAAAGGAGGGGCAGGATGGGGGCTGTCTTATTTCCCTTGGAAGGGTGTTCCAGAGGCGGGGGGGGGGGAGCCACCACCAAGAAGGCCCTCTCTCTCATCCCCACTAACCGTACTTGTGACAGTGGTGGGAGAGAAAGGAGGGCCTCCCCGAAAGTTCGCGCCACAAACTTTTTAAACAGAGGGCCAGGTCACAGTCCCTCAAACTGTTGGAGGACCGGATTATAATTTGAAAAAAATGAATGAATTCCTATCCACACTGCACATATCTTATTTCTAGTGCAAAAACAACTTTAAAACAATACAATAATTAAAATGAAGAACAATTTTAATAAACATAAGCTTATTAGTATTTCAATGAGTGTGGGCCTGCTTTTGGCTGATGAGATAAGATTGTTGTTGTTGTTGTTGTGTGCTTTCAGGTTGTTTCAGACTTAGGTTGACCCTGAGCAAGAGGTAGCCTGACTAGCAGGCATCCTCTGTTTGGGAGTTGTTCATTGGCACTTGATTGTTGAGGCATTGCCTTGCCTTAATCCTTTGAGTCCCTGTTGTTAGTATTCTAGGTGTCTAGCACCGCGTCGAACGGGTAACAGTAGGAGACTCCGTATTATCCGACATTTTAATTTATCCAATGTTCTGCTGGCCTGTTTATGTCGGATAAGCGAGACTCTACTGTATAAATAAACATACTACTACTACTAATAATAATAATAATCTATATAAATAAAAATTTGTGGGATTAACATAACTCAAAAACCACTGAAGGAACTGACACCAATTTTGGACACAGTACACCTATCAGGCCAACGAGTGATCATCACTCATAAAAACACTGAAAAACACGGCAGAAGAGACTTAAAAAGCCAAAAAACAAAAGATACATTACATTATATTGTGTATATGTGTGTGCTTGTCTATATGCGTATTTGTGTGTATGTATGTGTGCATGTGCATATGTATATGAGTGTATATGTATATAGTGTATTCTGGGTTTTTTTTAAGTCCATTCTGCTGGGTTTTTTGTGTTTTTAGGGGTGATGAACACTCGTTGAACTGTTAAATGTATTGTGTCCACATTTGGTGTCAATTCGTCCAGTGGTTTTTGAGTTATGTTATGTTAATCCCACAAACTAACATTACATTTTTATTTATATAGATATTATAATATTTGCATTATTATTATTATTATTATTATTATTATTATTATTATTATTGAGATACAAAGCTGCTGGATAGGATGCTGTAGATACATAGACAGTCAGACAGAAGTGGAGTGCTGGCGCTTTTCATAAACAAAGGCAGGAGAGACCCCCAAAGGGCATGTAGTCCAACTTCCTTCTCCCAGATGGGAAGGCACACTTAAAGCCCTTCCTCCGACAAGATCCCGGTGTGCTCTTTCCTCCAGGATCTTTTCTGTGCTGTCTGCCATCCTTTACCTGGGGAACATCACCTACAAGAAGAGGCCGGCTGGCCGGGACGAGGGCCTCGAGGTGGGCCCCCCACAAGTCCTGGACATCCTCTCCGAGCTTCTCAAGGTATATCCTCTCACCCACTGCCAGGGGAGGGCAGGAAACACTCATTTTTCCTTTACTAACGTGCTCAAACCGGGTCCCTTTCCTCAAATAATAGTCTGTGAAATGAATTCGAAAAGTAACTTCTTGAAAGGCATTCTCTTTCTATTATGCAGTCCTAGAATCCTTTTTTGGCATACATTTTTATTGTGGTATATGAAAAAAAATTGCAATCTTCATGATTCACCAATCAAAATACAAGTATTGTTTCCCCAGTCCTTCTAGCGATAATTGATCATTGTCTTCCAGGGACTGATGAGAGTTTTGCACAGCCCTACTAACTCCGAAAACATCATGCCCAGACTCTTTTTTTCCCTTGACTTTCCCAGGTGAAACGTGAAATCCTGGTGGAGGTCTTGACAAAGAGAAAAACGGTGACGGCGAATGACAAACTCATCCTCCCCTACAGCCTCAATGAGGTGAGCCCTTTGGAGAAGCCTTGTTGGTTCTGTTGGAATCACTGGATGTTGAGCTATCATTATTTTACATAGAGGCCAGTGCTTTTTCAGTTTTGCATGACAAACCTTGTTCCTTTTGATTATAACACCCCAACCATGTTGGTGGCTCTGCAGTTGGGGAAAGGTGAAAGGATGTATTTAAGGCTGGCATCCAATCCAGCAGCTCTGTATCTAAATAATAATAAAGATGTAAATAATAATAATGTAATTATATCAGACAATTATGCTGGGGAAAATGGAAGGAAAAAGGAAGAGGGGCCGACCAAGGACGAGATGGATGGATGGGATCCTTGAAGTGACTGGATTGACCTTGAAGGAGCTGGGGGTGGTGACGGTCAACAGGGAGCTCTGGCGTGGGCTGGTCCATGAGGTCACGAAGAGTCGGAAGTGACTAAACGAATGAACAACAAAATTATATCCACCAGCTTTGTATTTAAATAATGTATATATTATTTATTATAACAATATATTGTTATGTAATTATGTAATCATGATATGTAATTATACCCACTAGCTTTGTATCTGAATACTAAATATAATATATATATATATATATATATATATATATATATACATATATACACACACACACTTAGATACAAAGCTGGTGCATAGGATGCCTTATATAATATATAATATTTTATTACTATTATAAATGTATTTGTAAGATATTATTATAACATATAATACATTATAATATATAAAATATAAAATATTACTATTATAAATAAATATATTTGTAATGTATTATTATTGTGTGTGTGTGTATGATGCCATATAAGATGCACCGGGATTGTGGCGCAGCTGGCTGAGTGTCAGCTGCATTAAGATCACTCTGACCAAAAAGGTCATGAGTTCGAAGCCAGCCCGGGTTGGAATGGGTTTCCAACCAGTTGTGTGTAGCCTGTTGTCGACCTTTGCAATCCGAAAGACAGTTGCATCTGTCAAGTAGGAAAATAAGGTACCACCTTAAAGTGTGGGGAGGCTAAATTAACTGATTTATGAGACCATAAAGAAGTCTCCAGCAAAAGCATTCCAGCGGGGAAGCATGCAGGGAATGCGGAAGTGCTTCATCAGTGTCGCAGATGGACGATGAAAGCGACAGCTCCCCTGGCGGCCAGAAAAAGTTAAATAGCCTCTGTCTATCTCTGTATATGTTTGTACGTCAAAAATTGGCATTGAATGTTTGCCATATATGTGTACACTGTAATCCGCCCTGAATCCCATGCGGGGTGAGAAGGGTGGAATATAAAAGCTGTAAATTATATATATCTATATCTATATAGATATATATAGATATAGATATATGGGGCATCTTATTCACCAGGTTTGTATTTAAATCTTAATAATAATATGAATAATAGATTACAAATATTATAATTTTTATAATGTGGAGCTCTCTACCCAGGGACCTTAGATTGGCCCCCTCCCTCTTATCCTTCAGAATAAAACTCAAAACCTGGTTATGGAACCAAGCGTTCGAACAGCAATTTAGAATGAGACCCAATTTGTGTAAATGACAGTGGACTGACCTGGGCTATGATTTCAAACCTGCATGATTTAAACAATGTTTTAGTAATTTTAAAGCATTAACAAATTGTTTTAATTGCTTTTATCATTTATTACTGTTGTTGGCATTGAATGAATGCCTGTTGTGAAGCCACATTGAGTCCCCCTCTGGGGATGAGAAGGTTAGGATACAAAAATGCGAAAGAAAGAAAGAATATATGGCATCCTATTCACCAGCTTTGTATTTAACACACATATACAAATATATTTATAATAATAGTAGTAGTAATAATAATATATCATATATTATATAAGGCATCCCATGCTCTATCTTTATATAAATAATAATAAAAATAATAATTATAGTATTGTTATATTAATATTATAATTATTATAAACATAATATTTTATTTGTATTAAAATCATTATTATTATTTAGATACAAAGCTGCTGCATAGGATGCCTAATAGAATATATTATTTTATAATATTAATATTATTATAAAGATTCTGTAATATTATAAACAAGATGCTCTATGGTTGCATGAAATAATAAATATACTATATATAATATTATTATAAATATTATAATAGCTATAATATATTATTATTTCTTACCTGCCTCTCTGTGAACACACAACCATATATCAAAATGTATTTCTATGAGATATATTAAAATACCTGGACCAAAGATTAAAATACAGTAAATCCGCAGGCCATCACCGCCCGTGACTCCATGGCCAAGTCTCTCTACAGTGCGCTCTTCGACTGGATCGTCCTGCGCATTAACCACGCGTTGCTCAACAAGAAAGACATGGAGGAGTCTGTCATGGTACGTTTGTGTCTGCTTGCATATATCACAAAGAGAGCGGGAGCATCACAGGGATCACTTCACTCCTTCCAGGAGTGGCCCCTTGGAAGGCACCCCTAAATGCCATCCAGTCCAACCCCATTTTGCCATTAAGGAATACACAGGCCAAACCCTTGTGACAGATGGCCTTCCAGCCTCATAGACATCAACAGGTGCATGGAAAAATAGGTCTGTAGAATTATTATTACTATGTTAATACAGTAACATTTATTGTTATGTATTATTATTTATATTACTATTTATTTATTATAGTAATAAAATAGATTTTAATACCTATTATTATGTATTACTATATATGTTATTGGAGCCCCCGGTGGCGCAGTGGGTTAAAGCACCGAGCTGCTGAGCTTGTTGATCGAAAGGTCGCAGGTTCGATTCCGGGGAGCGGCGTGAGCTTCCGCTGTCAGCCCTAGCTTCTGCCAACCTAGCAGTTCGAAAACATGCAAATGTGAGTAGATCAATAGGTACCGCTCCGGCGGGAAGGTAACGGCGCTCCATGCAGTCATGCCGGCCACATGACCTTGGAGGTGTCTACGGACAACACTGGCTCTTCGGCTTAGAAATGGAGATGAGCACCACACCCCAGAGTCAGACATGACTGGACTTAATGTCAGGGGACTACCTTTACCTTTACCTATATATGTTATTATTTATTTTATTAATTATTATGATGTGAAAACAGAATTTAATATTTATCATTATGTGTTATTATTATATTATTTATGATGATGATGGTGTTAAGACATAATTTAATATATATTATTATGTATTTTATTATTTTATTAATTATGATGATGTTAAAACAGAATTTACTATTTATTACTATGTATTATGTAGTTACATTATTTATGATGATGATGTTAAAACAAAATTTAATCTATTATTACGTATTATTTGTATTTAATTTTTATTATTACTACTTGTTATTATGTAAATTTAATATATCTTATGTATTATTATTTATAGTATTATTTACTATTATATTCATTTATGCCCCACTTTTTCTCTTCGGCAGGACACTCAAAGCAGCTTACATTCAAATTATTTCATAGACATTAGTAGGTTCATGGAGAAATCGGGCTATAGAATCATAGACTTGGAAGGGACCCCAAAGTTCAACCCGCTTCTTTCTACCAGGCAGGAAACTGACAATCTTATTCTAATATTTGAACTTGACGCCTTCCTAAATTTGCCCCTTTTCCAGTGCCTTTCCATCGGCGTCCTCGACATTTTCGGCTTTGAAGATTTCAAGACCAACAGCTTTGAGCAGTTCTGTATCAACTACGCCAATGAACAGCTGCAGTATTACTTCAATCAGCACATTTTCAAGCTTGAACAGGTCAGGAGTGGAATAAATAGGAGGCTTCTTTACCATTTAACAACAACAACAACAACAATAATTTTATGTCAATTTAAAAGTCCTAGCCTATTTGTTGTTGTTATTTCTATTTAAAAGTCCAAGGCAAGTTCACATCAATCACAAAAAAATATTATTATTACTAGCTTGGGTCCCCAGCATTGCCTGGATTATTTGAAAAAAGTCAAATTTTAATTGTACAAATTGCATAAGGTTGTGGGTGAACTACAACTTCCATCATGCCAGGTTTACCCCGAAAAGCTCCATCAATACTTAAAGTTTTGTTATATTGGGCAAGTTTGCTCTGGGTGCATCATAAGTGGGGTTCAGTGTGCTCTCTGGCTATAGGGTAAACTATTCTAATAATATAATATAATATAATATAATATAATATAATATTATATAATATTATATATATATATATATATATATATATATAATATATATATAATATATATAATATTTATAATATAACGTACTGCAATATGATAATAATATGATATTATAATTATATATTTACATTACTTGTAATATTACTAATAATATTACGATATAATGGTATGGTGCAATATAGCAATGTTTAATGCTGATATTGTACTATGCTAATAATATAATATATTGTATGTAATATATACCTTGTAAGCCACTCTGAGTCTCCTTCGGGGTGAGAAGGGCGGCATATAAATGTCGTAAATAAATAATAAACTCCCACTATGGTGAGTCTGTCTCCTCAAACCTCTCCAATAAGTTACGTTGTTCATGGGAGTCCAAGTGTGGTCCAAGTCCATCAATGGTAGAGGTCACCGTTTCAGTGCTTGTGGGTGAACTACAACTCCCAGAAAGGAAGGTCAGTTCCCCCCAAGCCCCGCCAGCAATCAGATTTCGCCATATCTGTGTGCCAAGTTTGGTCCAGATCCATCGGTGTTTGGATTCACAGTGCTCTCTGGATGTAGGTGAACTACAACTCCCCCAAATCAAGGTGAATTTTCCCCAAAGACCTCCAGGAGTTTTTGCTGGTCATGGTGGCTCTCTGTGTCAGGTTAGGTCCAATTCCATCTTTGGTGGAGTTCTGAGTGCTCATGATTGTAGCAGAACTATAAATCCCAGTACCTACAACTCCAAAATGTTCAGTCCAATTCCCCACAAAACCCACCAATATTCAAATTTGGGCATATCAGGTATGCATGCCAAGTTTGGTCCAGATCTATCGTTGGTTGGGTTTCTAGTGCACTCTGGATGTAGGTGAACTGCAACTCCTATAAATCCCTCCAAAGACCTCCAGTATGTTTTGTTGGTCATGAGGCTTCTGTGTGCCAAGTTAGTTCCAGGCCCATCATTGATTGCAGGTGAACTATACATCCCCAGTACCTACAACTCCTATAAATCATGATGAATTCTCCCCAAAGCTCTCTAGTATGTTCAGTTGCTGGTCATTTCCTCTGTTTGCTGTGTGCCATAGAAAAGAACAGGAAAGAGTTAAGGGATAGGCAGTGGGTGGGGTCATGCAAATGCCACATCAATGGAGAGAGTCAGAAACACTGGGATGTCTGTGGTGTGGGAAACACATAAAATCTAGGATGATATTGTCCCCGCATTAAAGTCTTCACTTGGGTGGTGGGCAGGATGGGGTTTGTGGAGGACTTTGTCAGACTCTTGGACATGTTCATGGCACTCACTATAACCTGCAATGTCATTGGAGAGAGGGCCTTTGGTGTTTCCTGAGCAGTGGGAGCTATAGCTGTTTGTGGAGGAAGGAGTTTATCTGTGCAAATGGACAACTCGGCCACACACACATAGATATTTTCACTTTTGTTATGTGTACAGATTATTATTTCCATTTAAAAGTCCAAGCCAAGTTCACATCAGTCACACACTATTATTATTATTATTATTATTATTATTTCAATTTAAAAGTCTGAGCCAAATTCACATAATCATACACTATTATTGTTGGGTTGTTGTAGGTTTTTTCGGGCTATATGGCCATGTTCTAGAGGCATTCTCTCCTGACGTTTCACCTGTACGTCAAGAGAAAATGCCTCTAGAACATGGCCGTATAGCCCGAAAAAACCTACAACAACCCAGTGATTCCGGCCATGAAAGCCTTCAACAATACACTATTATTATTATTGTTGTTGTTGTTATTGTTGTTGTTATTATTATTATTATTATTATTATTATTATTATTATTATTACTATTATTATTACTATTGTTGTGATTATGGTTCCACTTAGAAGTCCAAGGCAAGTTCACATCACACAAAATAATAATACAGTAATAATAAATATTATTTCCATTTATTATTATTATTATTATTATTATTATTATTATTATTATTATTTCCATTTAAAAGTTTTTTTCTTGTATTTTGTTTTAGGGTTATAAGCCACCTCCAAGGCATTTATGGAGGAGGTTATTAGGCTCAAAGGCAGGCTGTAAATGCCTTTATAAATAAATATTTAAATTTAAATAAATAAAAAGATTTTTTATTTCATGTCAGGGCAGCCAGTCAATTATATTACATTTCTAACAGAACAAAGCAAACAAACAGACATAATACACAATTTGTGAGTTTGGTAGTTGATTAAATGTCCTTTGACCAGTATCTGGCCACTTGGAGTGCTTCTGGTGTTGCCGCAAGAAGGTCCTCCCTGGTGCATGTGGCAGGGCTCAGGTTGCATTGCAGCAGGTGGTCAGTGGTTTGGTCTTCTCCACACTCGCATGTCATGGATTCTACTTTGTGGCCCCATTTCTTAAGATTGGCTCTGCATCTCGTGGTGCCAGAGCGCAGTCTGTTCAGCGCCTTCCAAGTCGCCCAGTCTTCTGTGTGCCCAGGGGGGAGTCTCTCATTTTGTATCAGCCATTGGATTGAGGTGCTGGGTTTGCGCCTGCCACTTTTGGACTCTCGCTTGCTGAGGTGTTCCAGCGAGTGTCTCTGTAGATCTTAGAAAACTATTTCTTGATTTAAGTCGTTGACGTGCTGGCTGATACCCAAACAGGGGATGAGCTGGAGATGTCTCTGCCTTGGTCCTTTCACTATTGGCTGCTACTTCCCGGCGGATGTCAGGTGGTGCAGTACCGGCTAAGCAGTAAAGATAATAAAAAGATAATTGGTGGTTTGTTTTATGGTGGTTTAATTGCCTTTTTTTTTAACCGTCTGTATGCTGTCGTAATTGGCCTGAAATCTCAAAGCGGGGGGGAAAGGTGGGAATGCGACTAAATAGGATGCCAGCATTTCCCCTTTGTTTTGCAGGAGGAGTATCAGAGCGAAGGGATTTCCTGGCACAACATTGACTACACCGACAACGTGGCCTGTATCCACCTGATCAGCAAGAAGCCCACAGGTCTCTTCTATCTGCTGGACGAGGAGAGCAAGTAAGCCTGGCTGGCAGGAAGGAGAGGGATCCTTTTAGAAGCGGAGAATTTCTGTGCTCTCAAATAATATTCTGTGGTCAGCTTGGCTGATTGTGTGTTCTGCTATTGCTCATTTCGCTGAATATTATATAATTATCTCATATATATATATATATAATAGATTTATTCATGCATAACAACACAGCGCACATGCACATTAGGTCCAAGTGTCTGGGATTCATCTCTGAATATCGGGCTCTACCCAAGGCCTAGGATATTAGTATAGATAATTATTATATAATTGTATTATTATATATCATAATTATATTATATGAGATTATGTTATTATAGTATTATTGTTATTATTAATTAGTACATAGATTATTACTAAAATAATATTATATATTATTTTAGTATATTGTTATATTATTATAGTATTATTATATTGTCATATTATTATTAAAAATATATTATAAATGTAATCCAAAATTGTGTTATAGGTATAGATATAGATTATTACACAGATTATTATTCTTATTAAATATTATTTATTTATTTACAGTATTTTTATTCCGCCCTTCTCACCCCGCAGGGCGGATTACAATGCACACATACATGGCAAACATTCAATGCCACTAGACTCAAAACATATATAGACAGACACAGAGGCAATTTAACATTCCAGCTTTTCTGGCTTCATGAGGGTATGCTCAATTCTAGCCGCAGGGAGAGCTGCTGGTTCACCGTCCACTTGTGACACTCAGTCCTTTTGATGGAGTACTTCCTCATTCTTCTGCACACTGCTGGAAGATTTTATGATGTCATAAATTAGTTAAACTGGCATCCCCGCATAAAGCAGTACCTAAATATCCTACTTGACAAATGCAACTATCTTTTGGGCTGCATAGGTCAACAGCAAGCTAGACTATTAATGATCAGGAGCTCACTCCGACCTGGGCTGGCTTCAAACTTATGACCTCTCAGTCAGTAGTGATTTAATGCAGCTGGCTACTAACTAGTTGTGCCACAGCCCGGTCTGTTATTATTATATTTTATTATATTATTATTTATTATTATATCACATTGATATATTTCTATATTATTATTATTAATTATTATATTATTAAAATAAAAGATAATAAAAATTGTTACATATTGTTATATAGATAGATGATAGATATAAGTTATTATATAGATTATTATTATATTTTATATTATTAATTATGCATTATATTATTAATAATTATATCATGTTATTAATTATTATATCATATCATATTGTTATTTTATATTATATTATTATTAAAAATATAATCAAAATAGAACCAAGAATCGTGTTACATGGTGTTATAGCTATAGATAGACATATCTATCGTTATAGTGATAATATAACAAAATAATAATAATAGAATAGATTCTTCACAGTCTTAATATCCTTCCCGCAGCTTCCCACATGCCACCAGCGAGACCCTCCTGGCCAAGTTCAAGCAGCAGCACGAGGACAACAAGTTCTTCATCGGGACCCCTGTCCTGGAGCCCGCCTTCATCATCCAGCACTTTGCAGGCAAAGTCAAATACCAGATCAAGGTACGGGGTCGGGATCCGGAGGGAAGAGGGCTTGCAGACGCCGGACCGAGAAGTCCTTCGCAGACCTCTAACTTTCGACCGCCTTCATCCTCCAGGACTTCCGGGAGAAGAATATGGACTACATGCGGCCGGACATTGTGGCCTTGCTGCGGAGCAGTGACAGTGCCTACGTGCGCGAACTCATCGGCATGGACCCTGTGGCCGTTTTCCGTTGGGCCACCTTGCGGGCCGCCATCCGCTCCATGGCCGTCTTTGCTGAAGCTGGGCGCCAGAGGGCCCAGAGGACAGCAGGTGAGGGGTATCAATAATAATAATAATAATAATAATAACAATCCCAGATGACAGCAGGATTTCAGAGAAACAACTGGAAAAGTTGACATGATATGAGGCTTTAAAAATCAAACTGCAAAGACTGGCACAAGCTAGTAAAGGTGGTCCCGGTGGTGATCGGCACACTGGGTACAGTTCTTGAAGGCCTTGACCTGCACTTAAACACAAACGGCACTGACAAAATTACAATCTGCCAGCTGCAGAAGGCCACCTTACCTGGGATCTGCACGCATTATTCGTCGATACATCACACAGTCCTAGACACTTGGGAAGTGTCCGACATGTGATCCAACTCAACAGCCAGCAGAGTGTCTGCTGTGGACTCATCTTGTTGTGTTTCTAATAATAATAATAATAATAATAATAATAATAATAATAATAATACATAACTACTTTGAGACCTTTTGTGGAGAGAAAAAGGAGGGTGTAAACATAATAATAATAATAATAATAATAATAATAATAATAATACAATCTAATATTATAATAGATACATAACCACTTTGAGTCTCCTTGTGGAGAGAAAAAGTGAGGTAAATAATAATAATAATAATAATAATAATATCGTTATCGTTTTGTAATTAAAAAAATTAACGAATTATTAACGAATTACGCTCCAGCAAAGGATCACCGCCTTGTCGGGGCGCTGGAGCTTGAGCACCTCAATGATGTCATGAGCGAAACCGTGAAGGGCACCCAAGACGGGACGGTTGGGGCAGAGAGGTCAGACCAAGCGTGATCCCTGGGGAAGGCAATGGCAAACCACTCCAGTATCCTTGCCAAGAAAACTAAATGGACCAGTACAACCAGAGATATGTCGGTATGCCATTGGAAGATGGGACTCCCAGGTCGGAAGATGGCAAAACGCTACTGGGGAGGAGCAGAGGATAAGTTCAACTAGCCCCAGATGTGATGACGCAGCTAGCTCAAAGCCGAAAGGAAGGCTAGCGGCTGACGGTACTGGAGGTGAACGACGAATCCGATGCTCTAAAGATCAACACACCATAGGAACCTGGAATGTAAGATCTATGAGCCAGGGCAAATTGGATGTTGTTATTGGTGAGATGTCAAGACTAAAGATAGACATTCTGGGGGTCAGCGAACTGAAAAGGACTGGAATGGGCCACTTCACATCAGATGACCACCAGATCTACTACTGCGGACAAGAGGAACATCGAAGAAATGGAGTAGCCTTCATAATTAATAAGAAATTCGCTAAAGCGGTGCTTGGATACAACCCAAAAAATGACAGAATGATCTCAATTCGAGTGCAAGGAAAGCCTTTCAACATTACAGTGATCCAAACATACGCCCCAACCACAGCTGCTGAAGAAGCAGAAGTAGATCAGTTCTATGAGGATCTGCAGGACCTACTGGATAATACACCAAAAAGAGACATTATTTTCATCATAGTAGACTGGAATGCTAAGGTGGGTAGTCAAATGACAGCTGGGATCAAAGGCAAGCATGGTTTGGGACACAAAACGAAGCGGGGCATAGGCTGATAGAATTTTGCCAGGAAAACTTGCTTGTATAACAAATACTCTCTTCCAACAACCTAAAAGACGGCTTTACACATGGACCTCACCAGACGGTCAACACCGAAATCAGATTGACTACATCCTTTGCAGCCAAAGGTGGCGGACATCCATCCAGTCGGTGAAAACAAGACCTGGGGCGGACTGTAGCTCAGATCACGAACTTCTTATTGCCCAATTTAGAATAAAACTAAAGAGATCAGGGAAAATACACAGACCAGTTAGATATGATCTCACTAACATTCCTAGCGAATATACAGTGGAAGTGAAGAACAGATTTGAAGGACTAGATTTAGTAAACAGAGTCCCAGAAGAAATATGGACAGAAGTCCGAGACATTGTTCAGGAGGCGGCAACAAAGTACGTCCAAAGAAAAAGAAAACCAAGAAGGCAAAATGGTTGTCTGCTGAGACACTGGAAGTAGCCCAAGAAAGGAGGAAAGCAAAAGGAAACAGTGAAAAGGGGAGATATGCCCAGTTAAATGAGCAATTCCAGAGGTTAGCCAGAAGAGATAAGGAACTATTTTTAAATAAGCAATGCATGGAAGCGGAAGAAGACAACAGAATAGGAAGGACAAGAGACCTCTTCCAGAAAATTAGAAACATTGGAGGTAAATTTCAGGCAAAAATGGTATGATAAGAAACAAAGATGGCAGGGACCTAACAGAAGCTGAAGAGATCAAGAGAAGGTGGCGAGACTATACAGAAGATCTGTATAGGAAGGATAATAATATTGAGGATAGTTTTGACGGTGTGGTGAATGAATTAGAACCAGACATCATGAGGAGTGAGGTTGAATGGGCCTTAAGAAGCATTGCTAACAACAAGGCAGCAGGAGACGACGGGATCCCAGCTGAACTGTTTAAAATCTTAAAAGATGATGCTGTCAAGGTGATGCATGCCATTTGCCAGCAAATATGGAAAACACAAGAATGGCCATCAGACTGGAAAAAATCAACTTATATCCCCATACCAAAAAAGGGAAATCCGAAAGACTGCTCAAACTTCCGTACAGTGGCCCTTATTTCTCATGCCAGTAAGGTAATGCTCAAGATCCTGCAAGGAAGACTCCAGCAATACATGGAGAGAGAGTTGCCAGATGTTCAAGCTGGGTTTAGAAAAGGCAGAGGAACGAGAGACCAAATTGCCAATATCCGCTGGATAATGGAGAAAGGCAGGGAGTTTCAGAAAAACATCTACTTCTGCTTCATTGACTATTCTAAAGCCTTTGACTGTGTGGATCATAATAAATTGTGGCAAGTTCTTAGTGGGATGGGCATCCCAAGCCACCTTGTCTCTCTCCTGAGGAATCTGTACAAGGACCAAGTAGCAACAGTCAGAACTGACCACAGAACAACAGACTGGTTCAAGATTGGGAAAGGCGTACGGCAAGGCTGCATCCTCTCACCCAACCTTTTTAACTTGTATGCAGAACACATCATGCGATGTGCGGGGCTGGATGAATGCAAAGCTGGGGTGAAAATTGCTGGAAGAAACATTAACAACCTCAGATATGCAGATGACACCACTCTGATGGCCGAAAGCGAGGAGGAGCTGAGGAGCCTTCTAATCAAGGTGAAAGAAGAAAGCGCAAAAGCCGGGTTGCAGCTAAACATAAAAAAAACCAAGATTATGGCAACAAGAATGATTGACAACTGGAAATAGAGGGAGAAAACGTGGAGGCCATGACAGACTTTGTATTTCTAGGTGCAAAGATTACTGCAGATGCAGACTGTGGCCAGGAAATCAGAAGACGCTTACTTCTTGGGAGGAGAGCAATGTCCAATCTCGATAAAATAGTAAAGAGTAGAGACATCAGACTGGCAACAAAGATCCGCCTAGTCAAAGCCATGGTACTCCCGGTAGTGACCTACGGATGTGAGAGCTGGACCTTAGGGAAGGCTGAGCGAAGGAAGATCGATGCTTTTGAGCTGTGGTGTTGGAGGAAAGTTCTGAGAGTGCCTTGGACTGCGAGAAGATCCAACCAGTACATCCTCCAGGAAATAAAGCCCGACTGCTCACTGGAGGGAAAGATACTAGAGACAAAGTTGAAGTACTTTGGCCACATCATGAGGAGACAGGAAAGCCTAGAGAAGACAATTATGCTGGGGAAAGTGGAAGGCAAAAGGAAGAGGGGCCGACCAAGGGCAAGATGGACATGGATGGCATCCTTGAAGTGACTGGACTGACCTTGAGGGAGCTGGGGGTGGTAACGGACGACAGGGAGCTCTGGCGTGGGCTGGTCCATGAGGTCACGAAGAGTCGGAGACGACTGAACGAATGAACAACACAATAATTTAGCAGGGGGACTCGGTTTGATCCCCACTGTCTCCAGTGGATAAGTAGAGTATAACTTATTTATTGAGTGATGAATGCATATTGACTAGATAATATGGACTGAATCACATGGCAAAGGCCCCAAAGGCCATCCAGTCCCATCCCTTAAGATCAGGGGTCCACAAACTTTTTAAACAGAGGGCCAGGTCACAGTCCCTCAAACTGTTGGAGGGCCGGATTATAATTTGAAAAAAAACATGAATGAATTCCTATGCACACTGCACATATCTTATTTGTAGTGCAAAAACCACTTAAAACAATACAATAATTAAAATGAAGAACAATTTCAACAAATATAAAATTATTAGTATTTCAATGGGAAGTGTGCGCTTACTTTTGGCTGATGAGATAGGATTGTTGTTATTGTTGTGTCCTTTCAAGTAGTTTCAGACTTAGGTTGACCCTGAGCGAGGGCCAGGTACATGACCTTGGAGGGCCGCATCTGGCCCCCGGGCCTTAGTTTGAAGACCCCTGCTTTAGATAGATAGATAGATAGATAGATAGATAGATAGATAGATAGATAGATAGATAGATAGAATCCTAGAGTGGGAAGAGACCCCAAGCAGTTTTATATATATACTAGCTTGGGTCTCCGGTGTTGCCCGGGTTACTTGAAAAAGTCAAATTTTAATTGTACGAAATGCATAAAGTTGTGGGTAAACTACAACTCACATCATGCCAGGTTAACTCCGAGAAACTCCCATCAGTACTTAAAGTTTGCTATGTTGGGAAAGTTTGCTCTAGATGCATCATCAGTGGGGTTCAGTGTGCTCTCTGGGTGTAGGGTAAACTATAATTCCCACTATAGTGATTCAGTCCCCTTAAAACCCTCCAGTAGGTTGAGTTAGTCATGGGAGTTCTGTATGCCAACTTTCGTCCAGGTCCATCATTGGTGGAGGTCACTGTTTCTGTGGTTGTGGGTGAACTACAACTCCCAGAAAGGAAGGTCAGTTCCCCCAAAACACCACCATTAATCAAATTTTGGCATATCAGTCTGTGTGCCAAGTTTGGTCCAGATCCATCTGTGTTGGGGTTGACAGTGCTCTCTGGGTGTAGGTGAACTACAACTTCTCCAAATCAAGGTGAATTTTCCCCAAAAACCTCAAGCATTTTTTTGCTGGTTCATGGGGGTTCTGTGTGCCATGTTTCATCCAATTCCATTTTTGGTGGAGTTCAGAGTGTACATTCATTGCAGATGAACTATAAATCCCCATACCTACAACTCCAAAATGTCCAGGCCAATTCCCCTCAAGACTCACCACTATTCAAATTTTGGCATATCGGTTATGCATGCCAAGTTTGGTCCAGATCCATCGTTGTTTGGGTTCATAGTGCTTGCTGGATGTAAGTGAACTACAACTCCTCTATCAATCGTTCCAAAGACCTCCGGTATGTTTTCTTGGTCATGGGGGTTCTGTGTGCCAAATGAGTTCCAGGTCCATCATTTTTAAAATTTTAAACTATTACATCTGGCCCAGCCATAGGGTTTTAAACCCTTGCGTGTTATTGTCTATATGTTGAGTTATATTAATTGTATTGTTTTATTTGCTTATTGCTTGTTGTTTTTTATTGATGTGTTGTTGGGCTTGGCCTCATGTAAGCCGCTCCGAGTCCTCTTGGGGAGATGGTGTTGGGGTATAAATAAAGTATTATTATTATTATTATCATCATCATCATTGATGGAGTTCAGAGTGCTCTCAGATTGCAGGTGAATTATACATCCCAGTACTTACAATTCCATGGTGTCACCATGTCATCCGCAACCAGAACATTGTATTACATTTCTAACAGAACAAAACAAACAAACAGACAGACAGACAAAACACATAATTTGCAAGCTTGAAGTAAAGGACATGGATTAAATGTCCTTTGACCAGTATCTGGCCACTTGGAGTGCCTCTGGTGTTGCTGCAAGAAGGTCCTCCATTGTGCATGTGGCAGGGCTCAGGGTGCATTGCAGCAGGTGGTCAGTGGTTTGCTCTTCTCCACACTCGCATGTCGTGGATTCCACTTTGTAGCCCCATTTCTTAAGATTGGCTCTGCATCTCGTGGTGCCAGAGCGCAGTCTGTTCAGCACCTTCCAAGTCGCCCAGATTTCTGTGTGCCCAGGGGGGAGTCTCTCATCTGGTATCTGCCATGGATTGAGGTTCTGGGTTTGAGCCTGCCACTTTTGAACTCTCGCTTGCTGAGGTGTTCCAGCGCGTGTCTCTGTAGATCTTAGAAACTATTTCTTGATTTAAGTTGTTGACGTGCTGGCTGATACCCAAACAAGGGCTGAGCTGGAGATGTCACTGCCTTGGTCCTTTCACTATTGGCTGCCACTTCCAGGCAGATGTCAGGTGGTGCAATACCGGCTAAGCAGTGTAATTTCTCCAGTGGTGTAGGGCGCAGACACCCTGTGATAATGTGGCATGTCTCATTAAGAACCACATCCACTGTTTTAGCGTGGTGAGATGTGTTCCACACTGGGCATGCGTACTCAGCAGCAGAGTAGCATAGCGCAAGGGCAAATGTCTTCACTGTATCTGGTTGTGATCCCCAGGTTGTGCCAGTCAGCTTTTGTATGATATTGTTTCTAGCACCCACTTTTTGCTTGATATTCAGGCAGTGCTTCTTGTAGGTCAGAGCACGGTCCAGAGTGACTCCCAGGTATTTGGGTGCGCTGCAATGCTCCAGTGGGATTCCTTCCCAGGTGATCCTCAGAGCTCGGGATGCTTGTCTGTTCTTAAGGTGAAAGGCACATGTCTGTGTTTTAGATGGATTAGGGATCAGCTGGTTTTCCCTGTAATAGGCAGTTAGAGCACTAGAGCTTCGGAGAGCTTCTGTTCTACCATCTCAAAGCTCCCTGCTTGAGCGGTAATGGCATGATCAGCATAGATGAAACTCTCTGTCCCTTCTGGCAGTGGCTGGTCATTTGTGTAGATGTTGAACATGGATGGAGCAAGCACGCTCCCCTGAGGCAGGCGGTTCTTCTGTTTCCGCCATCTGCTTCTCTGGCCCTGGAACTCAACAAAAAAGCTCCTGTTTTGTAGCAGGTTTCCTATGAGGCGGGTGAGGTGGTAGTCCTTTGTGATATTATACATTTTTCTCAGGGGGAATGGTGAATTCCATGGTGAATTATCCCCAAACTTCTGTAATATGTTCAGTTGTTGATCAATGTTCAGTTGCTGTGTGCCATAGAAAAGAATAGGAAAGAGTTAAGGGAGAGGCAGTGGGCGGGGTCATGCAAATTCCACACTAGTGGAGAGAGTCAGAAACACTGGGATGTCTGTGATGAAGGAAAACGTAAAATCTAGGATGAAATTGTCCCTGAATGAAAGCCTTCACTGGGGTGGTGGGCAGTGTGGTGTTTGTGGAGGACATTGGCAGGGCTCTTGGACATGTTCATGGCGCTCACTATAACCTGCAATGTCATTGGAGGGAGGGCCATTGGTGTCTCCTGAGTAGTGGGAACTATAGCTATTTGTGGAAGTGGGAGCATGTCTGTGGAAGTGGACACCCCCAGCCACACACACATACATATTTTCACTTTTATTATGTGTATAGATTAGCATTATTATTACTATACTATTATTCTTTTCCACTCAGTTGTTTTATTTATTGTTATCATTACCATTACTATTTATGTGTTGGTTTTTCCCAACTAGGGGTGGTACGACACGGACCAAGGATACCTCTGGGCGAGCTCCAGCCAGCCAACACTCCAGTCGAGAGAGTTTACCGGTAAGAACAACATTTACACTCCTGTCGGTGTCTATTGTATTTGTTCTTGGCTTTTCTTGTGCCGTCCCCTTGGAAAAGGCAACGAAACTTTGCTTCCTTTTGGGGATCAGTTTTTTGTACCTTTGCATCAGCAGCACCTTGCCATTTTCTGCTTGTTTTTTCATGTAAAGTACTTCTTTGCTGCCTTTTAGAACTTAAAACAAGGGAGAGTTGTGGTAGAAGTCATGCTGCAAATCTCTCCAGGGAACGGTTCTTTGTGTGGCAAGGCAGAGAATGCAAGAAAAGTCTTCCTTAAGCCCCAACGATACTGCAATGTTAGCAGAAATATTCATTGAAATGTTCACAGAAATACTGATGAAAACATTTGCAGAAATATTCATAGAAATATTTTAAAATAGAATATTTTAAAATATTCACAGAAATATTCATTAAAATGTTTGAAGAAATACTGGTGAAATATTTGCAGAGATATTGATAAAATAGTTGTATAAATATTCATTAAAATTTGCAGAAATATTGATAAAAATATTCACAGAAAAATTCATAAAAATATTTGCAGAAATATTGATAAAAATATTCACAGAAATGTCTATAAAAATATCTGTGTATAAAAATATTCACAGAAATATTGGCAGAAACATTTGTGAAAATATTTACAGAAATATTCATTAAAATGTTTGAAGAAATACTGGTGAAATATTTGCAGAGATATTGATAAAATAGTTGTATAAATATTCACAGAAATACTCATTAAAATATTTGCAGACATTTGTATAAATATGCATAAAATATTCACAGAAATATTCATTAAAATTTGCAGAAATATTGATAAAAATATTCACAGAAAAATTCGTAAAAATATTTGCGGACATATTTTTTAAAATATTTCTAAAAAATTATTGCAGAAATATTGATAAAAATATTCACAGAAATGTCTATAAAAATATCTGTGTATAAAAATATTCACAGAAATATTGGCAGAAACATTTGTGAAAATATTTACAGAAATATTGATAAAAATATTGGTAGAAATATATATATTTTTTGGCAGAAGTTTCATTAAAA